GCAAAGGCCCAAATGAGAAAGTATTGTTTCTAGAGCAGAATGTGAGCCAGAAAGATGAGGCTGGAGAAGCAGACAGAGGCCAAGCCAAGTAAGTTATTGGTCTTAGGCCAATGAGGCTGGATATTGCATTAATTAGAGCTCTTTCAGGTCCAGTAACTCAAATCCAAGTCAAAATAGCTCAAGTTAGGGGCCGGCCCAGTGGTGCAAGCGGTTAAGTGCGCGCGTTCCACTATGGTGGCAGCCCAGGGTTCACCAGTTCGGATCCTGGGCGCGCACCAACACACCGCTTGGCAAGCCATGCTGTGGCGGCGTCCCATATAAAGTGGAGAAAGATGGGCATGGATGTTAGCCCAGGGCCAGTCTTCCTCAGAAAAAAAAAAAAAAGAAAAAAAAAAGAGGATTGGCAGATGTTAGCACAGGGCTGATCTTCCTCAAAAAAAAAAAAATAGCTCAAATTATAAGGACAGGGGCACAGCTAAAGCAAAATGGAAGAGAAGGCTGCTGGAGATGAGATGGTCAAGAAATTAAGAGGCCAGGGTGTTAGACGGATTGTCCATATGAAACCCAAAGTTCCTGAGAATGAGAACAAGCATAGACGGAAAGGAAGACAGGGAGTCCCTTGCTAAAATCATCAGTGACCAGAAGGGCATGAGTTGAAGATTGATACATGATGGAGATGAGGAGATATCAGAGCAGGATGAAGGAGGTATTTGAACACAAAGGTGGAGGAGAAATGTTTTGGGGCAGTGTCAGGATGAAGAGAGGCGAGTTTAGCTGGTTGCAAGTTTCTGAATAGAATTTTGAGGTCAAATTCAGAAGCAGGCAGTGTGGACATAGTCTGTGGGTCCACGATAGCTGCCTTTGGACAGGATAGGTAAACACGATCACTTTAGGGGGTGCAGATCATCTCAGATTCAGTTAAGAATTGGGCTCCATTAAAGACAGCATAAATCTCATTGTTCTGAAGCTAACTCGAGAGAGGAAAGGACTAGGGGTTAGTCTGATTAATTGGTTGTCATCTTGACCTCACTAGATTCTCAGCTCCTGAGAATCCTTACTAATGAACCTGAGGAAAAGGCTACCTTCTGGGCCTACTAATGAAGAGCCTTCCAGGAATCTGACAGTAATTGGGTGGGGATGCATCTGCTGCAGAAGAGACCCATGAGCTGGTTACTTGAATCAGAGTTACATTTCCTTGGCATGACATGTGAACTCTGCATGTTTGACCACCTACTGCCTCATCTCTCACCATTTTGAGCTTTCTGCTGTAATGATAGCAAACTGCTATGGTCATTCTAACATTACTAAGGCTGTTTTTTGCCCCATTATCATGCTATTTCCCTGCATAGTGTGCTACACATGCATTTGCTCACACATACACTCACAATTACATGTCTTTATCTAGCTGATATCTGCTTAGGAATCAGCTTCTCCAAGAAGCCTTCCCTGGACCCCATGCTCATTTAGATGCCTCCTTTGTGTCCTGAAAATCCCCTGGCTTCCCACCATTCCAGCATTTATCACTATAATATTGTCACTGTGTCTATCTCCCACACTAGACTAGGAGCTCCTCAAGAGTGGGAACTGTGTCTGATTCACCTCAGTGTCCCCAGTGCCCAGCACAGGGTCTGCCATGCTTGTTCAGCTGCGCTCTCATGACCCACACTGTCTACCTCCCCTCAACCACACCCTCTGTGCTCATTCCCACCTCCTTCATTCATCTATTCATTCAACCAACACTCACCAAGCACCTACTCCTCCAGCTGGTGCTGGAGCTCAGGTGAATGACATGGTCCCTGCTCAGGGAGCTCCTTGTCAAATGGACTTCTACCATGCAGGTTAACACATGCTATGACAGAGGGAAGCACAGAGGAGAATGAAGAGGCCATATTTTAGCTGAGTCCTGAAGAATGAGAGGTTAGTTAGGTGAAGAGTTTTGCTCAATTCTGGCCTTAAAGTCTCCCATCCCCACTAACTTCTGGAAGCTTCCTCTCCTTTTTCTCCCCTGTCACTCTCTCCTTGCACCACATTCTTGCACAGCCTCTGGTTTGCTCTACCTAGGTTAGAAATATTATAGTGTTTTCTGCCACTGTTCCAACTGAGAGCAAGACAAGAGGGCATAAAGGATAGAGCCCTGGCTCATGACCCATCTCTGAGCCTTGGTTTCCCTATCTGTAAATTACAAGTATAACCCTTGCCTCGCCCTACTGCCCTCATAAGTTTGTTTTAAAATTGGTATTGTGAACTAATAAGGGTGATGCACATGTGAAGGTTAATACTCTGATTAGTGTGTCTTTTCTCCACAACTAGATTTGGTCTCTCTTTGTCCCTTGCACTCAACACAAGACCTGGCACAAAGTCAATATTCAATAAAGACCTGATTGACCCCGAATGATGAAGAAAAAGAGGGTTTACCCAGAGGTCATGGGAGATGATCCAGGAGCAAGGAAGCTGGGACTAAAGTGGTCTGGGAACATAAGGGAAAGGGACTTGCTATGTGTTCCACATGCCAATCACTTCACATAATTTTGTGCATTTAATTCTCATTATCACCCTATGAGGTAGGTAATATTCACCCCATTCTACAGATGAGGCAACAGAGGCTGAAAGAAATTAGGCAACTCGCCTAAGGTCACACAGCTAGTAACTGACAGAGGCTTTATTCACATCCAGGGTGTATGGCTCCTGTGCCTCTACCCAAATCATCAGAAGGGATTTGTGCCCCTGGCCTTGATCTGTGTCCTCATCTTCATCCAAACTGATAGTTTAAGCCTATTTACTTGTTTACCTGTTTGCCCCTTTCCTAGGCAAGCAACACACTCCCCCCACCTCCCCAAACACTGTCACTCGTGATAGTGAGTCAAAGGCCAGAGTCAATTTTTATGATATTCATTAAGGAAAAGCTACATGCTGGAGGGTCTCTGAAGCCGAGTAGGTTTCTAAGGCCTGAGGATAAAGAGCCAGCAACTTCCTCCTTCTTCATCCGATGTCTGCAATTAGTGGGCACTTCTCAGCTTGCCTTTCTCAGGTTGGGAAATGGGCCACAGGAGAGGCTGTCAACTGGAGGTGGGCTGACAGGAGCTGTGAGTGCCTTCAAGCTCGGAAGGCCAGGGGAAGAGGAGCCTTGTTTGTACCTGGGGGCTTCAGCCCTCTCTGTGGACGGTGGGATAAGAGGGGGAAGGAGGGAGGAGGACGGAGACCCCTTTGTGGGAGAAGATGCTAAAAGGAGGTGAGAGGAGCAAGATGAAAGAAGAAGAGCAGAAAGAAACTGTCATTCTAACAGGCAACTTTTGTACAGCAATTTATCCATCGTCTCACTCAATCCTCCCAGCTGCTCTCAGCAGGAAGACACTTGTTATTCCTACTTGACAAACGAGGAGTCTGAGACTTAGAGGGGTTAAGTGATTCAGAAAGGCAAAGTGACTTGCCCAGATTCAGATACTGTGGTGGTAGTCAGATAAAAGCAAAGGAGGTCAAAGAGACTTATAAAGGCAGAAAAAGATATGATCAGGGAATCAAAAAGGAAAGAGAAAGGGAGAAAGAGAAAGAAAGGGGAGGCAGGCTGAGTATGGCTTTAGAGCCAGCCAAACCCAGACCTAAACCCAATTCCCACTGATACAGCTATGTGACCTCACGCAAGGTATGTAATCTCTTGGAGCCTTCATTTTCTCATTTATAAATTGAGATAATTATATTTGCCCAACAGGCTTTGGGGGGATTAAGTAAGATGAGACTTGTAAAGCTCCTAGCATAGCATCTGGCGTATAGTAGGTGTTTGACAAATATGAGGGATCCCAAGCAGAGTGTGAGGAATATAAGGGAAAAAGAAGGAGCTAAAATGAAAAAAAAGGGAAGAGAGAAGCTTTGGAGAAGAAGTAAAGATGGGTTCAGAAGGAAGAGAAAGAGGAAGGTGGATGGACAAAAGAGGAGGGAGCAGGCTGGGGGGGGATGTGACGGAGAAGGCAGCTTATGCTTCTAAGGGCTGCCACCAACCTGGCCAAGATTCCTCAGTTGGGAAGCAGCCACTTTGTCTGAATCAGGAGGGCGTTTCTTGTGTCTCCTGGGACAACCAAGTTCTGTTCGTTGTCACAGAAAGTGTCATTAAGGATCTCAAGGTCCAGAACAGACAAGAATGTCTCATCCTTCAGGTACAGTTTCCCCTGGGCCTTTTGTTGGGTTTGTGTGGTGGGGGGGAGATACAGGGGAATTCCAGGGGAATTCAGGGTGGAGGAACCCCACTGAGTGGAGATAAGCCTGTGTGTCTATGGGTAGAAAGAGCAAATGAAGCTTTGCTTATTTATTGTGGATCTTGAGGTCCCTCCCAGAGCTGAGACTAGAGCTGGCCAGGCTGGGGTGAGTGGGAGGCAGGGGAAAGAGGAGGAAATGCTCTGGTCAAAAAGGCCAAAGCCTGGGCTTCTCATACTGGTGCCTCTACTTATCTTGGGCAAGTCAGCTTACCTCTCTAAGCCACAGTGTCTGCACTGGTGAAATGGAAAGGGTCTGCCTGGACACTCCTTCCCCTAGGGCTGACATAAGGATCAAATGAGATAATGGGTATGATAAATGCTTTGGAAACTGTGAAGTGCTGTGCACACATATTGAAGTATTTGCTCTTCCAGAAAACACGTAATGACCCCACACACACATGTCAGGCACAGGGCTGTACACTTTACATGCATTATCGTGTTTAATCCTTGAAATAATTCTATGAGATAGGTAAAATTATCCCTATTTATAAACCAGGGAATTGATTCATAAAGAGAATAGATGGCTTGCCAGGGGTTACACAGCTGATCAATGGTAGAGCCAGGATCTGACTTTAAAACCAGTGTAGGTAATCCCTGTCCTGTACCGTCTCCTTGGAACAGAATCCTCTGCCCACGGAATTAGGCCTCCTTGCTTCACTCCTGAGCACTGGCTGTATTAATCCAGAGTGTTCTGGCCAGGAGGCATAAAAGGGAAGGGAAAAATTCTTACCTGTGTCTCTTTTCTCTCCTTAGGGTTTGACTTCTTTGAAGCTAGTGCCAAGGAGAACATCAGCGTGAGGCAGGCCTTTGAGCGCCTGGTGGATGCCATTTGCGACAAGATGTCTGATTCGCTGGACACGGACCCCTCCATGCTGGGCGCCTCCAAGAACACTCGTCTCTCTGACACCCCACCGCTGCTGCAGCAGAACTGCTCGTGCTAGGCAAGGCCTACCCTCCTGATCGCCCCTCATTGTGGCCCCACACCCTCTCTGCCTCCTCAGTTACACTCTGTCCACACCCAGCCCCAAGCAAGCTGAGTTGCTGCTGCTCTTTGCCTGCAGCAGAGGTGGAAGCATGCCCTGGGAGTTCTCTGCAGATGGCCCCACTTACAGACACTTAGCACTAGACTAACAGCCAGGTCACAGATGGGTGGAGATTTGCTTTACAAAAGAACACTCCATTTTACAAAGGGGATATACTACAGGGACTTGGAAAGTGAGTCTCTTTTCTGCCTTTATAATAAGGTTTCCTCCATTTACCAAAATTTGACACACACTTTTCAGGGCCTGGCCAACTGTGTAAAGTGAGGCCCACTGGCACAGCTAACCCTATTGAAGAAAACCTCCCCATACACAACATGCTTGTTTCCTATCAGGCTCCCTGTGGGGCTTCCTCCCACCACAAGTCAAGCTTTGGCCCTCAAAGCCCTATGCCTGTTACCACAGATCCCCACAGGGCCTGGGCAGTTGCTGTGGTGACAGGCCAGAGCTAATCTCCAGAGAGCTCAGCCTCTCTAATGATGCTGAAGGAGCAAAGGCTGAATCAGAAACACACAAAAGAAAGAGATTATCTCTTGCCAAACGTCAAAGGTTCCTGCTACATGAAAGAGCAAGTGAGTGAACTCAAGAAAGACGAAGAGAAAGAAAAAGAGAAACACAGGCAAGATAAAGAAACAGGTCCTGAATTTCTGATTTTGCTGCTATCCAGCTGGTTCTTAACTGTGGGAACTCCATAAAGTTGGTCATTGGTTCTTAGACTCCCAGAATCTGAAAAATTTAGAGTTGATGGGATCCCAAATTTTACCTAGTCTGACTAGTCAATTCCAATCTTCCTATCTCTGACAAGTGGCTGTCAGGCCTCACAACCAAATCTTTCTTCTAAAGCACACCTTCTAGGCAAGGATGGGAGATCATTGTCCACACCATCTTTGGGCAGCTCTCATAATCAGAAGGTTTTCCTTGCTTTAAGCTGAAACCTGCCTGCTGGAAATTCTTCTTCCTCTTTCCACCCCATTTGTACCAGCTCTGTTGTCGGAAACCTCACAGTCTCTGCTCCCTCTGCCCCGTGACATGCTTAGATGATTTGAGAACAGAAATCATGACTCCTGGGATCTGCCCTTTCTCTAAGTCAAAAAGTTCTAATTCCATCTGCCATTCTTCCCAGGGCCTTCCCCCATCCTACTCTTTCCTCCAACCCATCTTTCAATCACTCCTGAGTAGTCCAACTGGGAAACATGATTCAAAGCAGAATAAATCTAAGGGGGCATGACCCTGAAAAAATTGGGAAAACTGAACTCAGAGGTCCCATCCCAGCCTCACTCTCCTGGGAGTGAAACCTTAGTTTCTACCAAAGAGCAGGTGTGAAACCACTCCTGGTGGAAGCCACTTAATTAAACGCCTGGAGTAAAAAGCAAAAACAAAAAACAAAAAACTCTCTGATGTCAGAAACAAACTAAATGGATTAGCTCATGATTCTAGCTTGTTTGGACACCACACATGTTTGGTTTTTAGCTGACATGATGACATGGCAGTGGCAATGATTCCTAAAAATCTTTCCTCCCAGCCCTGGCCTGAATCCCCAGCCTCCCTCTGCACTAACATGGAGGAGGGAGGAGAGTCTTTTCCAAGTTTTCCCTCCATTTCAAATGCAGCTCATTGTCCTAGGAAAGTGCATTAACTAGCAAGAGGGCCAATGACTGCATAAAAGGACCCTCCAGAGTCAGCCCCATGGAGATGTTGCTTTCTTTGATGCAGTGCAGAGGACAGAGCTTTGACTTGGAATCAGGAGACCCAGACTCTGCCCTTAAATCAAGTGTGACTCTGGACCAGTTATTCCCCATCTCTGAGTCTTGATTTCCTATCTATAAAATGAGGGGGGTTATTTGGGTAATCTTTAAGGTCCCTTCTGGCACAAATAACGCTGCATTTTGCGATTCTTTTTTACACCTTCATCATTTCAGTTGATCTGCAAAATAAACCTGAAAGATGAGGATTATCACCCCAATGTCATTGTAGCCAACACTGATGTCATGCTTATTCAGTACTAGGCATTGTTCCAAGCACTTTACGTGTATTAACTCATTTATCTTTTCGACACCTTTATGAGAGAAGCACTGTAATCAGCCTCGTTTAAAGAGGAGCAAACCAAGGAACAGAGAGGTCCTCTAGCTTGGCTAAGGTCACATAATGATAAATGGGAGAGCTGAGGTTTAAACTCAGGCAGTTGGCTCTGAGGTCTGTGCTCTTCACCACATTCTATACTACATTTCTTATAGATAAACTGTGATCTGAAGAGGTTAAGAGACTTGGCCAAGATCACACAGCTAGCAAGTGGTGGAGCCACGTTAGGATTTAATCCCAAGGCCATCAGATGCCAAGTCCACTGGAGAAAAGACATGTCTCTAATCTGTTGACAAATTGCTCAACTATTCAGGCTAATCTGAGGTGATGAATGTCTAATGCTTCTGGAAAGGAGTCAGTCTCTGAGGCAACCAGGTCCCATGGGCCTGAGCAAAAAATTCCCATTGTTTCTCAGGCCCAAGTTCTGGCTTTCCCTGTCTCTGCCTCTGTCAGACAATGCTTATCTAGCTCTCGAGCAGTGCTTTGAGCAGCCTTCCTGCTCCAGCAATGGCGAAGTTTGGGGGAGCAACTTGATTAACTCCTGACCTGGAAGCATGAGGTCCCTTCACAGGGCAGTGGTTCTGGATGTGCTTTTTACACTATAGTCCCATAAAATCCCATACAAGTCAGAGATAATTGCTATTTTTCTGAGCAGTAACATCCATCTACCCTCATAGTAGGATTTCAGACTGAGGTCTTCATGATCCCTGGATAGTTAGTACATAAATCAAATAATCTTTTCTCTCCTACTGATTATCCAGGCAAAGATTGAAATTTTTACTTAAAAACTGTCAAATTCTTTAAAACTCAGGAGCCAGTTCAAGGGAGCAAGGATTTTCACAGCAGATGGAATCAGGAGCTAAATGTAAGAGTGGCAAACTCTTCTGCTGGGCAACAGACAAACAGACCTGCTTGTTAGATGGCAGTTCCCCAGCCCTGCTCTGTGACCTCGTTTCTGCCGAGTGTGGAAGGCAGCCACTTCTAGCTGATTGCAATGCAATGTTCATCAATCACGGTAATAGTGCAATTAGACAGCAAGGTTCAAGCTGATAATGTGTGTTAGTGGCAACTTGTCCCAGTTTTCATCTTGCTTAACAATCCAAATAAAAGAAGATTAAAAAACTCTTAACCTCTAAAGAGGCAGAAGTAGGCCAAAAGGGTAATACAGTATTGTAGCTATTTATAGAATCTGTTTTAAATGCGTGTGTATCTGTAAATACAGAGTGATTTGTGACTTATTGTCTCCTCAGTCTGTAGCATTATTAACTTCTAGGAGCAGCAATGGGGTAGAATGTACTGAACATGGTCACAGACTCATCAAATATTAGATATGGAAGGGAGCATAGAGAAAATCTTGTCCAGGCTCTTCGTTTTGCAAAAAGGAAGGTTGAGGTCCAGGGAGGGAGAGCAAATTTCCTTAAGGTGACCCTGAGAGCCAGGGCCGTTTGTGATGGAGCCAGAACTAGGTTGGATCACCTCTAAGAAGAAATTCACCTGTTCTGTATCTACTATGGGCCTGGCACTATTAAATATTCAATAAATATAAATGAAAACAAGTGATCTCTGCTTGCCAGTTACCTGTAGTCTAATGGAGGTGTGTTTCTAAGATATTATTATCCCAATCTGGCAGGGAAAAGTTTGCCTTGGAAAAGTTAACATGCCTAAGTCACCCACTAGGATCATTTGAACCCACCTGTGTCTGACTCATGCTCTTTCAATTTTCCTCTTCATATTTTTTCTCAGATGAAGGGTATGTAGGATGGTGGTAGTGAGAGACTCCCAAGGATTCTCAGAGTTAATTAAATAACCTCAGTTGGGACATTGGTTTCACAATTCCTTTGTGACTGCAGCCTTGTAACGTCCACAGAATTATATGAACATCCTCCAGACTTGACTCTCCCACTCACATCACCTGCTCCTGCCGCAAAGCTCCTTGCTTGGGTATCAAGTTTCCTGGAGTGTCTTAAGGAATGTTTGTTTGAGTTTGTTTGCCAACAGTTTAAGATAAGGGGAACTAATTACAGCAACCAGTGTCCTGGAATCTCATCAATTTCAGATTCCCCATCCCAAACCTACACCTGATTACCTGCCACAGCTGGAGAATCCAGCGGCAGCCTGTGACTGGGAGATACAAATAGTAAGTGATGTTTTGAAGTCCTGGATCCCTTATATGAATAGGCAAAACTCAAATTTATTCATCATTCAACAAAGTGGTGTCTAGTATGTGCCAGGACACAATCAGCGGCAAATCAGACACAGACCTTGCCTTCATAAAGTTTATAGTCTAGTAGCTTGTGATTTAGTCTAGACATTGTAATCACCCAAATATAATTACAAAGTGCTCTGAAGGAAATGTACATCATTCTATGAGAACACATAACTGAGAAATCTGAGTCACCTTTGTGGAGCTGTTTCAGGCCCTAGGAAGACTCCACTGCCCACTAATAACTTCACTACCCAGTGGCCATTGCTTCACATTCCTGAATTAAGCTTTCATCTTTTAGTTCAAACCTTTGATGGCTGATCAAACACAAATCTTCCCAAAAAAGTAAGGGTGAGAGAAAGAATATCTGTACCTGTGAAACATCTTTAGACTGCCTGGTTCAGAGTTAATTGTTGTCCTCTGAGGGACATAACAAACCACTCCCAAACTTAGTGACTTAAAGCCACAAACATTGTTTTTCATGATTCTGTGGGTTGGGTAGATGGTTCTTCTGGCTGAGGCTGGGTAGTTTAGAATGGCTTCACTCACGTGTCTGGGGCCCAGCTGAGATGACTGGGGTAGTTGAGGCCTCTCTCCATGTGGTCTCATCCTCCAGAAGTCTTCCCAGACTTATTCACGTGGTGGTGAAAGTTTTCCCAGCAGCAAGAGAGGGCAAGCTCCAACGCAGAAGCACTTTTCAAGCTTCTGTTTGCATCATGTTTGCTAATGTCCCATTGACTAAGGCAAGTCACATGGCCATGCCCAATTTTAAGGGGTGGAGAAATAGATGCTATCTCTTGATGGGAGGAACTGCAAAATATTGTGGCCATTTTTTCAATCTACCAAAGGAAATCAGCCCTAAGTCATCTGAAACTAAGTCTGGTAAATTTCCCTGTGTCTCAAAACCTGGCTCTGAAGATATCCCCAAAGACAAATGTCAAAATGTTTTAGAGCAGGGCCGTCTCATCATTTGTCTAGTTGTCCAAAGGGTCTACATTGGAGGAATCAAGATATATCTGGATGGAGAAGTTTTG